GAAATTTCTAAAAGTAATTAGAAAGAATTATTAAATTTAGAAAAATTTAATAATTTAGATGAAATATTCAATAGGAAAATATAGTAAAATATAGCAGGATAGATATAATATAAGAAGAAGAAAATTTAAGAAAATTTTTGTTTCGTGTAACATTACCCAAATATTATTTTTGGGGTGCCCTAGTTTAGTGATTGGACCCGTCCAACCCGGGTGACCCGTCGGGCTGATCCGGGTAGACTGACGGGTATTCCCAGCTAATCACTGATGTTTGTTTATATTAGGTAAAATAGGATGTGTAAATCCTATTTTACCTGATGTAAACAAACATCAGTGATTGGCTGGGAATACCCGTCAGTCTACCCGGATCAGCCCGACGGGTCACCCGGGTTGGACGGGTCCAATCACTAGTAACAGATACTATATGTGGTTCGAAAATAATGATATTGCTTTACATGAGTTGTACCAAAAATATGATAGTAAAACAAGAAAAAAGAAGAAGAAAAGATGATGAAGAAGAGAATGCAAGAAAAAGAAGAAGAACAGAAGAAGAGGAAAGAAGAAGAGAGGAAAAAAAAAGAGAATAAGAAGAAAGAAAAAAATAAAAAGAATTTATGTTTTGATTTAGAGTAGCAATAATTTTTGTAATTTTTCTTTACTTTTTAATAAAATTATTGTATTAACTTTGCAAATTGGTCAGATGATAATCTTTCTATATTAGTAGCATAAGTATCTACTGAATCATATACAGTAAGTTTTTTAAACTATATCTTTGGTATAGACTATAAATTTGATTAGCTTGAGACTCTAATTCATCTGAATTTTTCTTTAAGTATCAAATTGAATTCCTCCAGTATTTGATAATCTTGTTTGTTTTCATCTAGTAATTTTCCTAGATAATATGCAGCTTCTAAACGAGGGATCCTATCTTTTTCTTTGTTGCTGAGTTTGTCGATTCTTCCAACAATATCTTTAAAAACTTGAATATTATCTTCATTAGCTACGAATGGTGAGATAAATGTTCCCTCACACGAGTTAATACTCAAATCTTTTTTAATTCTAGCCAATGCCGAATTATCTTCTGTGGGTAGAGTTATAGTCTCGTCAATAGGTAGGTTTACATCTTCTATTTCATTTTCATTAGGAATTTCGATCCTGTCGGCCAATATACGTGATCTTTGGCCGAAATTCGGCCAAATCTGGCCGCAAAAATTGACACGTGATGATTATCTTGATTATATTTTATCGTCAAAGCGAAAATATTTTTTCGATATAAGCTTTTAATATTTTCAAAACATGAAGGACGAGGTTAGTAAGCGCCGTTATTATATTACAAGTAATTCTAGTACGGTCATTTACATCCGTATGTTCTTGTGGATGACGTTGACGTTGAAATGTTTAGCGTTCGCTGTATCCATTTCCGTGGAATTCACAACTGGAATCCAAGCTCGATTATGTTGGTCCATAAATCCTTCTATACCCGAGACTTGGGAGATAACACCCCCAAAAGGCATTTTAATACTTGCTCATTCTGCTAGCAATGCTAAAAAATTCTTGTTCGGAATGTCGCTACGCCCATGTCACTGAGCTCATTTCTTTTAAAATATACAAGCTTAATCATTACTATTCCCTTTTGTACTTGGAGGCTATATTTTCCTTCGAGACAAACATCATTCGGATTTGTCCAATATTTGCCCGTCTTGATAATGCACCGGAATTGATATGTTTAAAATAAACCATCAAAGCTCATGGATATTTACTATTTCCCGTCTCTTATTTAATTCCATCTTAGTGTAATTTAGCAGATCACAATGATACAAATTTTTCAACCTTACTCGAATTGCTTGAGGTGAGTAATTCATTCTTCTTTATTGAAATACCTTTAATTTTGATTAATTTTTTGGTTGACTCTTTCACAATATTATAGAATAAATCTCCCAATGTGATATATGACGCCATGAACGCGCTTTACAAAGCGTTTGTACCTCTTCTTTCTAAGGGCGAACTGCAAAAACCGAAAAAAATAGTTGATCAGAATGTGTGTCTTAGAGATAGTTATATTCACTACGTTAACAAGTTGTGCTTTCTTCTTAATCATAAAGATCCTAGTTTACAAGTATGTAAATTGCATATAGCTTTTTCAAATTCTTTAATTTATGTTCTCTCCATTTACCTTTTCCGTATAATTGTTAAAAGGTTCCTTCGCTTAATATTCTACTAGACCTTCTTAAAATAGAGTCTATTTACCTTACTACTTCTTCGGGAGCTTACTATTTTTCGAATAATCATTTTTATCGTGTTGTGGAGGGGCTTATTGGTAATGAAAATTTTAATGAACATTTACAAACCGAATTCATTGAAAAATATTGGAATAAATATGATGATTTAAGGTTTTATTTCCTAAAGAATGCTGCGTAAGTCTAATATACTAATGTGTGTTTGAAAAATAAGCAAACGATAATTTATTATATTTTTTCGACTTTATTATTGTCAACAGTAAGATAATCAATTTGGTCACAAATAGTGGAAAACCCAAAGATAGATCTGGGCCCATATCAAAGGTAAATGTGAATTATTAGTGCATACGTGGGTGATTGACTTTTATTTATTTTAAATACATAGTATATATATATTTGTTTATTTTGATTTATATAATTTTTTTTTTTTTACACAAAGAAAAAGCGTACAAATGAAAGATTTGATGATGATAAACTTAATAACTTAATGGAGAATACTTTCTCCATACTTGAGAACCTACGAACTATGCCAACTGACGCGTCGGAAATCAAGGACTTTTGGATTGACCATCCTGCTCCTGGTAGATTAAAAGTTACATTTACAATTCTTTTCATGACATTTATACCGGATTAATATATATCTCTAAATTACTATTAGAAATTGTAAATAAACAGGCTTCCGAAAAAAACGAGGAAGAATTTAGAGATACTGATGAAGACGATGATCACAATATGAATGATAAAAAGAGTCAAACAAAAGGTCAGGATAAAATACCTCACATATTGCAATTGTCCAGTCACCGGCGAGTTTTTTCGGATTGCTGGTTGGCCTTACTTCAATTACCGATGAGACAAGAATCATATAAAAAGATTCTCTTGATCATGCACAAGAAAATAATTCCACATATGCTACAGCCTACAATGTTAATGGACTATCTGACAGAATCATATAATGCAGGTAGTGTGAATGTTTTTAGGGCACGACTTTTATTTAATGATTTTTATATTCACAATCATTGCATTTTTTTTAGGTGGAGTTATTAGCCTTTTAGCTCTAAATGGTCTCTTCACCCTTATTCATGAACATAATTTGTGAGATATTTTTTAAATTAAAACCTATTGCAATTTGCTTATACATTAACGCCTATGTGTTATATTTACTTTTTATAGAGATTATCCCGATTTCTACAGAAAATTGTATAGTTTATTCGATAGAAATTTGATGCATGTTAAATACCGATCCAGATTTTTTCGTTTGGTGGATCTTTTCCTTGCATCCACGTTTGTATTACATAAGATATATGTTTTGTTCTATTCGGATGTCAGCAAACTAATAGTATTCAATGTATATCCTTATAGTCATCTTCCTGTCCAGCTTGTCGCATCATTTATAAAAAAAATGTCCCGTCTCTCGCTTACAAGCCCCCCTCACGGCATTGTAATATTGATACCATTAATTTATAACCTCATTAGACGTCATCCGACTTGCATGGTTTTAATACACAGACCGTATGAAATAAATTCTAGAACTGAGGATGAAGGTACGTTTGCACATGGTTGTTTTTCAGGATTCCTCATGAAGAAAACTTACCAAACTAATTTAAATAATTATAGGACATAATAATATTTCGGATGATCCATATGTATTTGATGAACCAGATCCAATGAAAAGTAACGCTATTGCCAGCTCATTATGGGAGTTAAAAGTACAAATCTATTCTATATTATTCGTTTGATGTGTTTGATGAAATTTTATTAACCAACTTTTACGTATTTTATTTAAAGACTTTGCAAAATCATTATCTTCCAAATGTTGCTAAATTAGCAAAAATCTTTCAAGATAAATTTACTAAACCATCTTACAATTTGGAAGATTTTTTGGATCAGACGTATACGACGGTAACTTATTTACACAAATTTATTGATTATATTTAAATTTTCTCAGCTAATTTACATAAATTCTTTTTTCATGAAGTTATTCGAAGCTGAAACTAGTAAAAAACCGAAAAAAGCGCCTGCTCTTGCTTTTGAAAAACCGAAATTTGTATTCCCTATATGTGAAAATATAAATAATGTAGAACAAATAGATGCAGAAGAGCAAGAGTTGAGGAATGCTAGCATAATGAAGGGATGGGAAATTTTTCGATTTTGAAATTTAGTGAATTTAGTCTCCAAATTTTATTATTAATGCATGTTCTTAATAAGCCTGCTCTAAAACAATGTTCATTAATAGGTTTATTTTTTGTATTATGCCCTTTGGCCTTATTGTTCTTCGCTCCGGACATTTTGTTTTTACTTTTACTGATAAACAATATCACGTGTTAGTTCGCCTCCGTGATACTGCAGTACTGATTGGTTTAATATACGATGATCAATCACATGATACCTGATAATTTTGGTTGTAGTTTGCGCGTAGCGTAGAACTGAATTTTGTAGACCCTTTTTGTTATTATTTATTGGAGTTTTGTCTTTTGTGAGCTTATCGTTAATATTATTTGTTGTTTTTTTCTCTCTACACCTGAAGCCTCACTAAGTTTTTGTTTATCAGTTGAATATTGTAAGTATATCATTCGTATTTTATTGTTTAAAATGAATCAAACCATATTTTTAGGGTTCCGATGCTTGCCTGCAGAATAAGGTAAGGAATAGCTGGTGTAATCTTGATCTATGACTTGGATTCAGGAGTTAAACGCTTTTCATTTTGCAATCAAAAACAGAAAGCAAAATCATCAACTGAAAAAGCTTGGCCTAAGGTTTCAGCTCATTGTTTAGTAGTTTGATAGTTAAAGTTCTGGTTAGTTCAGTGGTTTCGAATTCGTCCATATCCAAAATCAGGATGAGTAGCACCTGTTAGTCTAGATTAGAAAGGCATCGACACATTTTCAAATATATAGTATTCATGATATTTGCAAAACTGAGTTTCTTCTGAGGTCTACTGATTTGAAGAAAGAGTTGGTTATGTACCTTGTCACAGTGAAAAACTTTTGCAAAAGAATTGTTTTTTTTTTCAATGTGGTTCTATATGTAGCTTGTGCTGCAAGTGGGTTCTTGGTCTTTTACACCTAAATAAGATACAAGTTTGGGCATGTTATCTTTCTTAAGTTTTATATCATTTTATTTCTGAATTCCTCAATAGGATATAGTTTTGTTTCTTTATTTTTAAGGTTTTAAGGTTTTGATACTATAGTTGAATTCTGGCATCATGTAAAAAACTATTCTTGGTTTTGGTGTTATGTAAAAAATTATTCAAAGTTTTGGTGCTATTTGCAGAGCCAGTGATTTTTTACATTGTACAGAATATTACAAAAATTACAGAATAGTTATAAATACAAAAAGTATTACAGTTATTGCAGAATTGTTATAGAAAGTAGGATAATGAGGAAAATAATAATAAAATTTTTTTTTTTTTTTTTTTTTTAAACCTCTCTCCGCTATCCTGAAGGTCCTAGACATCTTAGGATTTTTCTTTCACTCTCTAAAGCCAGAGTTGTCAATCCAGCGGAGATTAACGGCAGGTGAATTGGCCTTCTGAAATATCACCGAGCCAGTGAGATAGCTCATGCCCCATTAAGTCCATCATTTGACGTCCCGGGTCCCTGGCCCCGCGGTGTAGGACCTACGTTCTCTAGGTCCGCAGTTCCCTAACTTCACATGACCCACTAGCCAGATCGTCCTTTTTATACTTTTTTTTTCGGCCTAATCTGGGAACCTTATATTATCGACGTTTCTTGTCGGATTATCTCCTTATCTGGGCGTCATGTAACCCTGTGGCTATGTCACTCGACTTGTTCATGTTGTAGTACTTTGTCCGAAATTAGAAGTAGGAAATCTTCGTAGATCATTCATTCTTGTAATATTCTTGTCGGAAGTAGAAGTGAGAAATCCCCTTAAGATCATAACACTCGTGA